ACACTCATACGTACACCCTAGGACTTCCCAGGAGGCAAGAGTGCTAAAGAATCTGCCTGCCAGTGCAGGAGATAAAAGAGACACACGTCTGATCCCTGGGTCAGGAAGATCCTCTGCAGAAGGAAATGGCAATCTGCTCCAGTATTCCTGCCTGTAAAATTCCATGGATAGAGGAGCCTGGCGTGCTGCAATCCACGGGGTCACAAAGAGTCAGACATGACTGAGAGACTGAATGCAGCACATATACCCTAGACCTTAAGCCCTAGCTATGCTCAGATCCCCACCCTTTTCTCAAAGACCATCGCCTTTGGAGACTCGCTTTCTATGTCTGTGCCTTTCTTTCAGCCAAAAGTAGCTTTCTCACCACTATTCTCAAGTTGGCAAATTCCCATTTATCCCTCCCAAGGCCCTCCTGCCCCGCAAATCCCTACTGTGGCCTCACTCAGCCCTTTCAGGTCAGGCACGCTGCCCTCTTCACCTCCAGACCAGTAACACCACATATGGAAGACTTCAGTACCCAGCAAACAAGTCAGCATCATCGCGGTGATAAACACCGAGAGATCACAGACACTATGCCGTCACCATATAAGAGTTATAGCTCACCCGAGTCTCATAAAAACCCAGTGACGTAGATTCCATCACCATCCCGCCTTACCCATGAGCACAGAGGGGTGGATTCACTCATTCAAAGTCACACAGACAGCAAGGAGGAAAACACGTCTGTTGGACTCCAGAAGTGAATCATTCAGTGTTCATGCTGGGGGGGTGGGGGGGGAGACACAGTCTCGTGGCAGGCCGTGACTGCTCTGTCCTAGAGCATATGCCTGTGAAGCTTATCTATAAAATGCAGGTGTGTGAGTTGCTCAGTCGTGTCTGATTCTTTGTGACCCCGTGGACTGTAGCCCGCCAGGCTCCTCTGTCCATGGAATTCTCTAGGCATGAATTCTGGAGTGGGTAGGCATTTCCTTCTCCGGGGGATCGTCCCAAACCAGGGATCAAACCCAGGTCTCCTGCATTGCAGGCAGATTCTCTATCATCTAAGCCACCGGGGAAGTCCGTAAAAGGCATACCACCCACATAAACAGTGATGACTCAGAACCTGGTTACAAAATGATGACCACTGCGAAATCAGCCTTTAAAAAATGACTGCTACTGGTCACCACGCCTGTCAGTTGCCAAGATGGATAAAACGCGAACAAGGTCGTACCTGACCCCAAGGATCTCTTTGATCCAGTGAGGAAAATAAGGTAACATTACATACATCTCATAACATAGCCCACTTTATGAAATATCACTTTTCTCCTTGAACATTTGTCCTTCAAACGGTACCATAAATTAACTGGCTGTATGCCAAACTGCTGGTTCTAGATCAGCACTAGCTCTTAACATGAATTCAACCTCCCTCTTCCCAGTAGGAATTTTGCAAAAATCTTTTGATTTACAGACATTGCACAAGGTTGTGCTGACTGCCTTTGGACTCAATACAAGAGAAAGAAAAACATGGGGAAAAGGATCTGCTCTCAAGCTAAGAGGGAAAAGCTTTCTTAAAAGGAGACAGGGAGCCCTGGGTGCAAGCTTTCTAACTAGTTATTAAATCATAATGGTAATCACCATAGTCATCATGGCTAACTTCCTTATATCAGAAGCCCTCCATCTTACTAGGGACAAGATCGATTATTAAGAATACTATTTCCTTGAGTTCAAGTCAAGGTGCAAAGAAGCCAGAAAATTTTTTAAATATGTCTTCATGTTCATTTTAAAAACAGAAACATTTGTGTAAATAATTCAGACAACTCAAAATCATAGTTTAAGATTTAAGAACACAGTGAAACACTCATAATTTTAATTGAAAGAGCTGAATTCAAAAAGGGGCTCGGTATGTCCCCTAAGCATATAAAGACTGATGTATATATGTGTCTGCACTAGACTGATATGCTAAAATGTTAACAGCAATTTTTGCATGGTAGAACTAAAGACAATTTTTATCTACCTCTTTGTACATTGTTATACTTTACAGATCTTCTGTTCTTCATGCATCAAGTTCTTAAAATCAGAAAAAGTAGATCTACATCTTAAAACATATTCAACTTTGAATGAATTGGCGAAGAAGACAGTCTTTAATTTCAAAGCAAAAAAGCTTAGTCATGTGTCTTTCAACATCAATAGCATCATGCTTTGGGACAAATTGGAAAACTAGAAAAGAAGAAAGGGATTTGAAAAGCAGAAGTGTTTATAGTGTCGAAGTGCAACTTAGGGATCAGTCGGACTGTTTGATACGGCCGCTTCCTGAGTGGTACCTGGGTAGCCAGTGTCATGCTTTACAAAACTGAGACCGCTTCTGAATCCTCAGCACATCGTAGTTCTGGTAAGCACAACCTGTGTCTGGTTTCAGAAAATCCACAATCTCCACAATCAGACATTCGGCCTAGATGATCACTTGGATCTAACTCCAGCCCTGAAATTCTGGGATTCAGCCAACTGAGAAGTCATAGTCTCCATCTACTGTTCTGTTTAAGAACCTTTTAAAGGTGGTGATGTGCACCAACTGCTTAGTTTTAATTTCAAGCAGAAGTTTCAGCCAACTGTAGGATAATCATGGCCAGTGTTATAAGGCATAGAGGTGTGTGTGTGTGTGTGTGTGTGTGTGTGTGTGTACTGCCAAATAGTTAGCCTTGTTTACTAGTTTAACTTTTGCTTATCTACACAGATTTTGAGTCTCAAGATCAAATCCTAATGAGTCCTAAGAAATGACCCATATTTGGAAGTAAAGTTTAACAAGCACTACTCTCTTAGAGAAAATAACATATAGGGACTTCCCTAAAGAGAGGCTCAGTGATTAAGCATCCACTTTTCCGCTGCAGGAGTTAGATCCCTGGTGTGGGAACAAAGATCCCGCATGCCGCGTGGTACAGCCAAAAATAAAAGAAAAATAAAATAAAAATTTGCCCTTACCCCCAATAAATAAGGTCAATAGATAGCCAATAGAAATTGGAATAAAAAATTGAAGATCTATTTCTAAAAAATGTAAAACAAATATAAATTCAAATTACATTTTATTTCATATATATAAAATTAAAATTCAAAACAATATAAGTTTGAGCTGGGCTTCCCTGGTGGGCTCAGATGGTTAAGAATTTGCCTGCAATGCAGGGAGGACCCGGATTTGATCCCTGGGTCAGGAAGATCCCTTGGAGAAGTGAATGGCTACCGACTCCAGGATTCTTGCCTGGAGATTCCCAGAGACAGAGGGGCTTGGCGGGCTACAGTTCATGGGGTGGCAAAGGGTTGGACACAACTGAGCCAGTTCCACTCACTAATGTTCGAGCTATGCAAGCTATTTCTCTCGAACGTTGATTACAAATGATTATTCTTGTGGAATTCCACATAAAAATCACAGGCAACCTAGCCAGTGAAATGAAGTGTAGGAAGGTATGCATACGTTAAGGAATTCAGTAGGGAAAGTCAGGGAGATTGGACACTGAAATTGATGAGACAAATCAGCACATGACAACGTGCGGTCACGCGCACCAGGAGAGCGGAGGCGGGCAGCTTTATTTCCCATCACCATGACCTCTCTGGCCAGAAAGATACCAGACGTGGTATCTTTTAGATACTGTTTAGAGCATCGCCATTTCCACCCGTGCACATCGCCCCGGGCTAAGGAGGAAGTCGCGCGGTGTCCCAGGGATCAGCTGGCCATGTTGTTACCCGTCCAAACACACAGGTGGGGCTGTAGGCTTCACCCGGGGACTGACACAGAAGTCTGTGCAGAAGTCTGGGCCAGGCTGCACTTGGAGAAAGCGCGCCTCCTTAGACAAAACCAGTCAAGGGCAGCAGGTGAGTGCTGTCCAGCCAGCCCCGGGGACATGCTGAGATGGCCCTGCAGAGGCACTGCTGAAGGGGAATTCTCCAGTGTCCTGTGGTCCCCCCGAGTTCTTAGCGAGAGCAAACCCCGAACACAGATGGTCTCCCAACAGAACGGAGTGCACGGGTGTCCCATGCACGGGTCATTTCTTAATCTTGACACTTGGTATGTGGAACCCGGGTCTCCTGCATTGCAGCAGATGCTTTACCCTCTGAGCCACAGGGAAGCCCTTGGTATGTCTAAGAGATACTTATAACTCAGACGTTGAGGGAAATCGTGGCCACCAGAAACCGTGGTAATTCTCACTAGTAAATGATGGTAGAGCGCCCTGATGGTACTATTACGTGTTACAAGGACCCCAAGCCCACAAATCCTACAACGTGTCACTGCAAGTTTCATTTATCAAATTGAAATATGCTTATGTAAGCCACGTAAGACATATTTTTAAAGATATCTTTATGGTCACCAGAGGGGACAGGGGAAGGGAAGGAGTATGGGATTAACAGACACACACCATTATACGTAAAATAGATTAACCACAAAGACTTACCATATATCACAGTGAACGAGANTGGGCAGCCTATCCCTTCTCCAGGGGATCTTCCTGACCCAGGAATCAAACGGGGGTCTCCTGCATTACAGGCAGATTATTTACCAGCTGAGCTAGTAAGCAGAATCTAAAAAGAAAAAAGTTGATACAAACAAACTTATTTACAAAAGAGACACAGACTTACAAACTTAACAGGACAAACTTATGGTTACCAGGGGGAAAGAGTTTGGGGCAGAGACAGATTGGGAGTTTGGGACTGACATGTACACACTGGTAAATTTAAAACAGATAACCAGCAAGGACCTACTGTGTAGCACAAGGAATTCTGCTCAATATCGTGTAATAGCCTAAATGGGAAAAGAATTTGAAAGAGAATAGATTCATGTATATGTATAACTGAATCACTCTGTGTATACCTGAAACTAACACATTGTTTATCAACTATACTCCAATATAAAATAAAAAAATTTTTAGGAAAGAAAGAAAATTTTTTAAGTCAGTCCTCTTTGGGAGAGCTATCAAAAAATTATCTCAAAACAGTCTCCTGACCACCCCTCTCTCTCCAGCTCACAGGCCCTGGGCTCTTCACGCACATCCAGTCTTCCACAGGATTCTCTCACATGTCTGCTTCATCCTGGGGTTCCCCATGATCAGCATGACAGAATGAAGAGAAGAGTAGTGTCTCAGAGATGAAGAGAATGATGAGATCCACAGGAAAAGTCTTGGAGCTGATGGAGGAGGGGCTGGCCAGGATGTAGACCATGTAAAGTATAAGGAAACAGGCCAAGGACTTCTGGACAGTGATGTGAGCCTTCGCCTGAGCATCTCTTCTGCCGGCTGTATGGACCTTCATCTTCCTGTATTGTCTATACAAAGGGACAATCAGCAGCCCAGAGGAAACAAGAAACATCATGCAAGGCATCATGCTTCCTGTATTGAGCTGTAATATACATATATAGTGCCAGTTTGAAAGGGGGAATAAGATGCTGCTATTTCCTTGGGAAGGACTGGAGAAGTCTAAGCTACCCCTGACTGTAAGTTACAAATTGATTGTGAAGTACACCAGGAAGCAGCAGCAACTCAGGTAACAGGCCCTCTGCTTCAGCCACAAGGAGACCGCATGTTCACGGTCAGGATCTTCCTACAGTAGCAGACACTGAGAAAACTCACAAACCACAGGCTGGCCTGGCTTACCAGAACCGTGAAGACACTGAGATAGCGAAGCCAGTGGCTGCTCTGGAAAAGCAGGAACAGACTTAAGTCCACCACAATCAACCACTGCAGAAGCAACCAACAGACCGCCAGGCTCAGGACAATGAGGTTATACAAGGACTCCCTGAATGTTTGGAGCCATTCTCGAAAACTCCAGACCACAAAAACTCCATTGCCAACCAGGCCAATGAGAAATTCAGCCACTGCCACCAGCATCAGCAGTCCTAGGATAGAAGTCGGCCCGGCTGGGGAAGTCTCTCACTGCTTTATGCAGATAGGTGTATACAGCTCTTGGCTACACTGCAGATTCCCTGAAGGTGATACCACACTCAACATAAAGTCTTAGACCGCAAAATCTGGATTTGGTCTTCAGTTCAGTTCAGTCGCTCCCTTCTGCAATCTGTCCTCAAGCATAGACTGAACAGCTCTGACCAGGAGCAAAGAGTTTAGAAGTTACAAATCTCTCTGTGTTTGCATTCGCATGAATGAACCCGGAACAAACCCTGAGACTAGACATTTGAAACATCACAGAGACCAAGTCTCCTTCTCAAGGATATTGGGTTAACATTAGATACTAACACATTATATAATAAGGGCTTTCCCAGGTGGCACTAGTGGTAAAGAACCCTCCTGCCAATGCAGGAGACAGAAGAGACACAGCATATTGAAAATATAGCCTGAACTTCTCGTTTTTGAGAGAAGAACTTTGGAGCCCAGAGNAATTCTAAACTGGCCCCCAGAGTTCCCACCCCTTGGTGTACACAATCTGAATAATCCTTGAGCAAGTGCAGGGCTATGACTAACAGAGGATGTCACTCCTGTGATTAGGTAATATTACATTGCAAATATGGGGGGCTTTTGCAGATGTAATCAAGGCCCTAATCAGTCAAGTTTGAGTTAATAAAAAAGGAGATTCACCTGATTTAATCAGTTAATGTCTTGGAGGAGGAACTGAGCCCTTCTGCTGGTCCTGAAGAGTCCAGTTGCCATGTTATGAGAGTGTTGCATGTGGAGGAACTATGGGAGGCCCTGAGATGCTTAGACTGACACCCCTATCTAACAGCTGGCAAGAAAATGGGACCTCATCCTACAAATGCAAAGAACTGAATCCTGCCAATAACCAGGAGCTTGGAAAAGCACCCTGAGCTCCAGAAGGAACAGAGCCCAGCCAACATCTTAACTGTGGTTTTTGAGAAGCCTGCACAGAGGGCCCACTTGGGCTGTGCTGGGAGCCTAATCTATAGAAACCATGACACAATAAAAGTATGCTGTTTTGAGCTGCTAAACTTGTCTTGCTATGCAGAGAAGAGAAAACCAGTATGGTATTCGATATAGGCTAGAAACAACCATAAAGGAAATGAGAAGACAGTGGAATTGGATTGGAGGGGAAAGGCCAGGCTGGCTTCTTAGGAAGGCAGCACGGGCATAGAGAAGAGTTCTGTTCCATGTCCCAGCAGCACCTAGGGCACTCTATGCAGCTGCAAGTGAGCCAGCACCCTCGCGAGGTCTCAGCTGTTCCACTAAAAATGTAATGGATTGTAGGGCTGGCTTTCAGTTCACTTCGGTCAGATACACGCCGCGCACCATGTGCCAGGCAGTGTGGCAGGCACAGGGACACAGCAGTGAGCAGCCCCTGGGCCAGGCTGCATGCGCTGTGCCGCAGCCCGCCCACCGGAGGGCCTGGCGCCTGGGAACTCCGCCTGCAGCTGTGGAGAGGCAAGGGGGAAGACCACAGCTGCCACGGTCAGAGAGCCGGGCTGAGGCACGAACCTCTCCAAGGGCCAGGCTTCTGCGGCGACTTCTCAGGCAGCAGGTGCCACTGTCCTTCTCTCCTACCTGCCGCACTCGAGGTCTTGGGCAGTGGAGCCTCAGGCAAGCAGGGTGGCCACCGACAGGTATCCAGAAAGCCCAGTCTCGCCTCAAAAAAAAATCACCAGAAACAAAAAGATGGTTTCTTGACAGATTATGAGTGGTGTTAAGAAAAGCTAAACCACATAGAGAACTGAGATAATTAGCTAACTCTAATAAGAAAAATGTTTGTCTAAAAAACATCTAGCAACTAATGCAAGGTTCAAGTCTTTTTAACACTCATTATTTCAAAATTACAGCTATTTTTTTTTTACTTCATTTCATCAGGGTATACATAGTCTACACTGGCAAAGAGAACCGGATTACCTATAATAATTTAGAAAAATGTGATCCCTTCCATGCAAAACATGAAAACTCAGTTTTGACATCTGGAGTTTAACAAAACAAGCACTTTGCATTGCTTAGAGAGCAACAGCTCTGGTTTCTATTCTGTTTTCCACATTACTTTCTCATTTTATTTCAAACTTAAAGAGGAAAAAAGAAAAAGAGTTGAGGACAGAAATTTAATTAACTCTACAGAAAGTTAATTATAATAAGTTAATTTTACAGTAAGTGAATTTTACTATTGGCGGTTTTCTAGAGTAAGGGCTGATTTGATCTCCCTCCCATGTCGTGGACACCTTCCATAGAATTCTTCAACAGGTCTGATTCCTGTTAACCATTATAATCAAAATGTCCTTAGTCGCTCAGTCGTGTCCAACTCTTTGTGACCCCATGGACTGTAGCCCGCCAGGCTCCTCGGTCCATGAGGATTCTCCAGGCAAGAATACTGGAGTGGGCTGCCTTACCCTCCTCTAGGGGATCGTCCCAACCCAGGGATCAAACACAGGTCTCACCACATTGCAGCCAAATTCTTCACCGTCTCAGTCACCAGTGGAAGCTCATGAATACTAGAATGGGTAGTCTATCCCTTATCCAGGGACCTTCCTGACCCAGGAATCAAGTCAAGGTCTCCTGCATTGCAAGTGGATTCTTTACCAGCTGAGCTACCAGGGAAGCCCAATACGTAAAGGCAGCCGTGAGTATCTCAGAGATGAGCCAGTGGTGGGTTCAGCAGGGGAAGAGCTGGAGATGATGGCAGAGAGGCTAGCCAAGGCATGAAAGCCATGTGGAGAAGGAAGAAGCAGCTAAGAGACTTTGGTTTCAAAGACTCAGGTCTGACACTTTCATCCAAAAAATGCCTTCCACCTACAAGCTACCAGAGTCAGTCCAACTCCATCTCCTACATCTGACATATCTCAGGGACTCAACCATTCTGTACTCCTGCACACAGCTTTTTTCAATGCTTCCCAGAACTGTGCCCACATCGCCACTAGAAGGCATCTAGAAGGCAATTCGCCTATAGCAGCTGTTCACCTGAGCAAATTAATTCTTCTCTTAATACACTGTATGAGTCTAAAAATTCAGAAATTGAGCAAATTAAGCATGTTATTAATAAGCACGTGTAACCAAAACTATCAAGACACATATATTGTCTTTACAGATTCTTTCCCACCACTTTATGAAGAGGTGGAGTTCTTGCTCTCTCGGATTGGCACCATGTCTTGGGTGCTAGAATTCAGGTCTTTGCAGGGAGAAGGAAGTGCCAAAGTGCATCATCCTCCATGGCTGGTGTGCCATGGACCCGGCGTGCCTGGCGTTACAAGGACCAGTGTAAGAATACAAGCAGCAGCAGCACTGCTGGGGCAGGAAAAGTAAATGGTAGTGAGGAGACCTGGCAGATAGGATAGCAGGAGCTATTTTCTCTGGTTCCGTAAGTATGAAAACTTGGGAGGAGAAATAAGTAAGATAGACAAGATTTGGGAGACCCTCTAGGAAGCATGGCTTAATGCCGCTTCCCTTGAGAGTGAACTGGATGCAGAGACTTACCTCTAAACTAGAATGTCTGGAAAGGGAAGCAGAGTGAGCAGGCAGTGGAGAAACCTGCAGACACCACCTTAACCAAGCAATCCAGGTTAACAGGACCAATGAATAGTCATGATGACATCATGTACCCCTGATGTGATGTGATGTGATGTGATGTGATGAGAAGAGTGCTTCACCTCTGTTGTACTCTTCCCCAAAGGCATTCAAACCCAGTCTAACTGTGAGGAAAACATCAGACAAACTCAGGTGAAGAGACGTTTTACAAAATGCCCAAACAGTAACCCTCCAAGCTGTCAAGGTCATGAAAAACAAGGAAAGACTGAGAAACATCATAGACCAGAGGAGACCAAGACTATCTGCAATGTGATATCCTGGATTGGACCTTGGAACAGATAAAGAACATGTGCAGGAAAACCAGTAAAATTTGGATGAAGTCTCTAGTTTAGTTAACAGTTACTGTATGAATGCTGGTTTCCTGGTTTCAACAAATATATCAGGTTATGTAAGGTATTAACATCAGAAAAGCTGAGAGAAGAGAATATAAGAACCCTACATACTCTCTTTGCAACTTTTTCGCAAAATAAAATTAAAACTTTATTTTTGAAAAGTTACATAAAACCCAGTTACAGAAGGCTGTTCGCATGACAATCACATTTTTAACATTTTGGAACTTGTGCTTTTCCAGAGGAAATTTGGGAGACAGGTTTTCCCCTCGCAAGATCATGCTAAGAAAAGAGTTGAGCGACAGAGATGGCAGACAGGACTTTCCAGATATCTAACCCTTGATGGGACACAAATCTGTTGACAAGCTCCTTGTAAGGGGAATTTAAAGAGTGGCACTTGGGGCCACTCACAGAAAGGCACCATTGCTTCAAAACTCCGACAGGTTTGGGTGTGCCTCCCCACTCAACCAGTCAGAAGCTATGTTCTTACACAAGTCAATTAAGCTCTCAGAGCTCCTCGTTCCTCCTTATAAAGAAAGTTTTTATAATAATGCTTACCTCACAGGGATATTGTGATGATAAAAGGACATATGAAATTACCTAGCCTGGTTCCTACAAATTAATGTCAGTATTTTTCTTTCCTTCCTTGGTGATTTCTCTCCATACTCACTCCTGTCAACAAAGTCGGGGAGCATCTGAAGTCTTCTGGTATTCACAGTATGCAAATACAAGAACTGGGATGGTGCTTCTAAAAAAGGTGATCAAGCTCTACACAATTTTAGAATTTCTGGACAGTAAGAGTAATGATAGGAGACAGGCCTTTAAAAACAGGCAGAATACACACAAAAAACTCAAAATGGATTAAAGATCTAAATGTAAGACCAGAAACTATAAAACTCCTAGAGGAGAACATAGGCAAAACACTCTCCGACATAAATCACGGCAGGATCCTCTATGACCCACATCCCAGAATTTTAGAAACAAAAGCAAAAATAAACAAATGGGACCTAATGAAACTTAAAAGCTTTTGCACAACAAAGGA